GCAAGGCTGAGAGCAAGTGATGAAAACACCAGGTGGAAATGCAAAAGTAAAGGGTTGAAATTACACCCCTGCCATGGATTTTCTGAGCCCAGAGAAGAGCTTTGGCTATACCCACATCAGTCAAGTGCAGACTGATGTTGTGCAGGCCTTGACTGGTATCTTCAGAAAGTGCAGYCTCACTGCAGGAGTAGATGTGTTAAGCACAGTACTGTACTGGTTTTTAGATCTGCTATAAATTCACGTGACTCAACAGCACAGCCTTTGCATAGGGCAGGGGGTCTCTTAATCCTTCCTGGCCTTGCATTCCTATCTATAGTGTGAAATTATTAGTGCTTTCTTGCCTCACTGAAGTCCTGTGAGAGCGAATGCTGGTGAGGGGCTCTGACGATTTAGCAATAAAAAGTATTGCTGACAGATTTTATATGCTGTGGATCTGTGGAACTACTCTGACCCAACTGCTGCCACTGAATTTCCTGGTTTGCAAAATGCTTTTTGCCTAGACAGCATTATCTACAGGGACTTACTCTCTTCAGGGTTTAGTGGCAGTCCAGATGTGGACAGGATTGAAGGTGCCCAAGGGTAAGAGTGATATTTTCTGACAAGMACAGGTTTTGAGCATTTTACTGCAGTGCTCTGGAGCTTTCTGCCAAACAGTCAGGAGAGAGCCTATRTTCAGCCACAAATCTGCATGTAACCTGGTGCCTGACAGAATAATCCATCATATACCAGAGACTTTCAATAAACTCAGGATGCCAAACCAGCTGGTTGAGGGTCCTAGAATATATTTACAATCTGCCATATTTCTGCAATYTGCAACTTGAAGGAACTCTTTTGGGACATCAGTCATTCTATTCAGCCTTCAGCCCCTAAGCCTGCATGATCCAGAGACTTTTTAACAGTCATWCAGCCAGGAGCATTAGTTAGGAAAGGGTGTGCCTTAATGCTGTACTTCCCCTAAAACCCTTGCACATTCTCTGCTCCCCAGGCCAACCATATTGATGGGCCATCCCTGGAAGTGTTCAAGGCCAGGTTTAGTGGGGCYCTGAGAAGCCTGATCTACTTGGTGGCATTCTTGTCCATGGTGGGAGGGTTGGAAGAAGATGATCTTTAAGGTCCCTACCAACCCAAGCCTTTCTGTGATTCTRTAATAACTCCTCTCTTGCACCTATCTACTTGGCAGTAACAAGCACATTCAGATCAGCTCTAAATCAAAYCTGAAAATCACCTCTGTCAAGCGTCAAGACTTGCATCACCAGCAGCTYAGTAGTTTTACATTTATTGCAGAGAAGTCTGGCAGTCCATAATGACGTGCACTTTACTTGCCAGTTCTGAGTCCCTTGATGCAGCTTTTGCTCACTACCCTCTACCTCTGGGCTCTTGTTGGTAAAAGCCAGTTTGACAAGGACTCCTGGGCTGCACTTCCATGAACAACAGCCACGGGGGATGAACCCTTCCCATCTCCCAATGGAGCTGACAGCCCTCTTGGCAGGCAGAACTGTGAGGGCTTCTGGCCACAACGCTTTCTGGCTGCTTTTCCTCAGTAAATACCTCCACTCACTGTGAATGGCTGACCCTTGTAGCCATGCATCTCACATCCACAGCCTCATCAGGCTACTGCCTGAGCTGACACCCCTGTAGTTTCCTTCTGGGAAAAGTCAAATGTTTCCCTTAGGACTTCCCAGCCACTCACCAGGCAGTCGTTTGTTTGGGTGCCATCCTCCTGCTGTCCAAGCTGTTTCCCTTCAGCTTGCTGTTGTGCCAGATTGTCACATGGTGTCTCCGCCACCATCCTTTACACCTTTTATGTTGTCCYCGCCAGGGAGCTCTTGTGAAGCGAGATTTTTGGCCTGCCTCCAAGMAGGGTCTTTCATATCATCACTTCTTTGCTGGTTTCTGTCTGTGCCAGCCAGCAATGAGACAGTCTCAAGGAATAAAGCTCCTTGAGGAGGTGCAATGTCACAGCTACACCGTGTCCCTCCTCCACAAAACACCCTCCCTGGGGCCTGGGCACCCTGCCTACAGCACAGGTGAGAAGAGCACTGCTTTTCCAACAGAGAGGTGAAATCACCGTGGTCATATTTTAAATTTTTTTCCTCACTAATAATGAGGTCTAGATTATTGTTTTCCCTCCCATTAAAAAAAGATCAAATAGTGATAACTTGTGCTCAAGAGCTGAAAAAAGCAGCAAATATTTCAAAACAATCACTCATTCACAGAAGAAAAACAGTACATTGAAGTACTAACACTATATCCAAAACAAAAACAAAACATGCGAACTGTGAGTCAAAATGAAGGTTATGAATTTTTGAAATGTGTGTTTTTATACTTAATGAAATGTGACTCATAATAYGGGTAGTGTAGATTTACAATGTTCTAAACTATTCATATCCTTTCTTGCAAGCATTTGGATTTTACAAATGATGTGACAAGTAAATACGTTGCTTAGAAACCATGGTGGGCTTTTGAAACTAATTCTTTTGTTTCTGKGATCTTAACTTGGCAGGTGTTTGGCACAGTGGAGTTATCAAACTCCTCTGGTTTACTCTCAGAAAGCACCAGTCATTTAAGGAGGGCTCTTAGATAAGGATAAAGCTTAAAAGTCTGAGGCTCATGTTATTCCAGCTCCCTGCCTGCATGGCATGCCCTCAATACTTCTTACAGTTTCAGTCACGCTGTGTCCAATTCCTGAAACCAAAAACCCTTGTGAACCCCAGGATCTTCTAGGAAGTATTTTCCACGAAGCTTTGAAACACAGGACCAACTAAGCCAGAGATGCTGTGGTGAGGTCATGCTGTGTTTAAATGGAGACAGACAGAAGTAGTCTGAAATAATTTATAATGCTATCATCTAAGAGAATGATGTTAACCAGGAAATTGAGAAGTGGGAGTACTTATAAACGCCACCCTGATCCCAAACTCCTTCCACAACCCCAGAATAGCTGGCATTACTACTAATATGATCTACAGCAGCACATTTAAACATGGTTAACATTTAAATTTAGGTTTCATAAATTACACCCTGCAGAGATGGATAGAGACAGCTCCTATCTCTTTGAGGTATTGTTTCATTTGMGAATTCAAGCAGATGGTGCACGAGCAACTAATGACTCAAAAAATCACCCCTAAAAATAGTCCAGAACAAGGTGTGGATTTATCAGGGAAGGAGGGAACAGAAAAGGCTTTACTTCCCCTTCCCATTTCTCAGGCACAGCTCCAGGAACTCAGCACACCCATAGCTGTGCAACACAAAGGACCCCATCCACACCCCATTTTCAAGCACCTCTCTGTGTCACCTCAACAGGAGATGAGATGGTGAAGAGGAAATGGGCTCAGCACTTTCCACTTTCTCCACACCAAGTGTGTGCATCCAATCCCCCCAGAAAACCACCCTGGGAAATTACATCTTCATTAACTGTGCCCTGAACCGCTCAGCACAGCCGTGTGGCACCACTGAAACTTTCAGTCTCCCGGTCAGGCGGGCAGTGCTTCATGAAAACTGACTTTTCCAAGCAAATTCTATAAATCCTTGTCACTGCTTCCTCATGAGGCACTACACCGCAATACAGTGCACCTCCAGCAGAATGCCAAGTTTGCCATCACTCCCRTGTTTATGGCAATGTTGAAGCCCCGTGTCTAAGCACACTTGTACAAACTCTCGGGGAGGCAGAGAGTCCCTCCAGGACGGGCTGTGGGCTTTGAGCAGGGCTGAGGRACTGCGGGAGGGAAACCTGCCGTGCAGGCCAATTATGTAAACCACAAAYTCCTCAGAGCACCGTGCCTGTGCAATGCCTGGCAGAAGGCACTGTTCACAGCTATCCCCAAAGCAATGCCTTTCTGAAGTAATAAATATTAATAATTTCTGGTTAAAGATCCCAGCACAAGTAAAGCCGCAGCTTGAAAAGTAAGATGTTTCTGTATGAAAAGGAGGAGGGCCTCTGGCAATGTGAACAGCTAGAGGAAGGTAAGTGTTATTATTTACTGCACAAATACAGGCAGAAAATGTATATTAAATCACACTTCAGTTGYTTCTGTGAAGCAAAACTCTCCTTCTGGTACACATCTTGCTCTTTTTGCTTGCTCATACTTCCACCTCTGCTCCTCATGCCCCTGTCCTCTACAGCTGAATATCCTGGGAAGAAGGCACTCTCTTCCTTCATTTTCATTAGTGGTAGAGATTGATACCACAATGTTATCYGACTCTAAATGTTATGCTTTAGCTGATATGTTAGACGATGCTTAGTATTTTTTTTGCTTGTTTAATCTGTTTATTATGCAATAAAAAATAGTTGCTGTTGGGGCTCATGATTCAKCCACTTCTGACATACATTATTTCACTGAAGCATAGCTCTTCTACACTTTACAAATACAGTTTTAAAATTGTAAGACCTCGCCTGTGCTCATTTTGTGTGTTTCCCCCTTCGTCTAGTGGCATCCTAAATAAAAAATAATGTTTAAAAATAAAGGAAAACATATGATAATTATATACAATGGGCCAGAAGAAAGAGTTACACCAAAACACACTGGATGAGGATCTGACTAYATCAGCCAGATGAAGCAAACAGGTTCTGAAGTGAATTCTAAGAGAGAAGAAAGCAAGCATTACCGTTGCCACTGACTTTACACAAAGATGTGTAGATGAAACTGGTTCTGAGGGAAGTCTGGCCATGGCAAATAAACCATAAAGTCRAATTCTGTGCTGGCAGAGGGAGGATGCAGAATGATTTACTGTAGCTCTTCTAATATTCACAATATTGAGTGAGATGCCAGCATTCTGCTTCATTAACCAGTCATTTTGATTGCATTTTTTTTTCTTTTTAATTCTAGTAATTTTCTCTTCTTTGCAATTATACTAGACATCTAAATCCCTCTACATAAATGATAGTTTTCTTTTCGAGGGGGAAACTGGCCACATAAGCTGGAGACACATTCTCCTCTGAAGCCAGAACCTGAAGGGAAAGAGCTTGAGCAGCAACCCTAGACTAAKTAAAAGGTTTTCTTTACCTTGCTCCCACAATGAGCTGGTTCCTGTTGGCATCCAGTGCAAGCTGAGAAAAGTCATGCACACCTGGATAGGTGAAATTCGACACCCAGGGCTTCAGATCTGCAATGAAAATGAGAAAACAGAAAATAATAAAGCTGCTCCAGAAGCAGTGAGTTCACCTGGACATCCACTAATGGCTTTCCTACTGAGGTATCAGTCAGGAGAAGGCTAATTAATAATATTTTAAAGGATTTCTATTTATTCTGTTTCTTTGCAGAATTGCAAAAAATCCACACATAAACACAAGGCCATCTCAGCATTTTCAAATCCAAGATGGAGTGTCAGCATTGGTTTCAGAGACAACAGCTCAATTTTACTTTGGTTAAAACTGAGGAAATATCTTCAGTGTCAGGATTAAGTGGCRTAAAGGGATGAGGCTGCCTGCCATAACACCTCCCCAGCCTCGCCTTCTGTGCTAATCCAAGGGAAACTGCTGCCTGCCAGAAAGAGAAGGTAGTGCCAACTGATGAAGAACTGGTGATCTGCACTCAAGACCCCTCTGYTCCAATGGCAGATTTTACCTTCTCTTTCAGGTCTTAGGTTCTCTTCTATGTTTCATTTTACCTAGCATCTCAGATTGCTAAATCCATCCTTCATTTTCAGATGCTGGGTGTCATCACAGCATCTTTGTGGCTCAGCAATTGCACAGACTTGAGACTGGCTTTATTAGCTGGCTTGGATTTGCCCATCTAGGCAATTGTCCAAACTGCAATCACACAGGTTAAATGCAAAGCAATAGCTTTGGCTATGCTTTGCTCAAAGAGACAAAGCTCTTCCAGAAGTTACATCTGTTAACACAACATCAACTGAGCAATCTAGGGCAGGTCCTGCTGTAATAAAAGATATACCAGTTTTTAAAAAGAGGTGAATTACTATTTTTAGGGTACTCTCAGGCAGGACACTAGGGCATTCACAGCATCCCATCTTTCAGTATCACTACCAACTTTGACCTTGTGTATATTACAGATCACAGAATTTCAACCTCCCACCWTACACCTTTATTGCACAAAATAACTGGGAATAGATTTAAATGCATCTTTCAGAAAGTCATCCAGTTTTACTGGGAGGACTTCTCTTGAGAATTTACTGTTAACTATTCTGGCTGTAAAATACATGGAGAATAGCAAATATCTCAGGGAGCAAGGCACAGATGAGGCCAAATCAGTGTGACTGCAGTCCCTCTGTGACCTGTTGACAAGTAGCCCTGCCTCATTTGATGACCAGCTGTGGAAGATCCAGGAGACTCAACATGGAAGGTAATATCTTCTGGTCTCATGCCAACAGGACACCAATGCATGGGCCAATGACCTGATGACTCATAATAGTAATGATGTATTCAGACCAGTTCAAAAAAGCTGTGAAAAAACATGTTCCACTGTCATTTTATATGCCCAATGATAAATTGAGAAGTCTTATGGAAGGCAGTCAGGTTTGAAGGCTTTGCTGTAGGCATTAGTTCCCCTTTCCACAAAGGTGAGAGGACAAAGCTGATGAGGAATCTCATTAAGGTCTGTGGTGTCTTGGCATGTTTCACAGGCTTACAGATGTGCAATGGTTAAAAACCTTTCATGTAGGGATATTTGTTGAGCAATTTCAAGTCCGTTCTATCTTCTGGGATGGATAAACCTTAATCAAGCCCGTAAGTTACCGAAACCTTAAAAAACCACATATAAAAAGTCCCTGAAGTCTACATGGCCTGCCTCTCTTTCCAAAGCAGGACCTTGTCACGGAGTTTCTGCCTCTGCCCTGAACACCACCATGTTTCGTAACAGTTCCTTGGGTCCCTCTGGCCTGCCCCCATGCCCTGCCCAACTGGATGCTGCCAGGGCCCCTCCAACAGTAACACTTCCATCCTCACAATCTAAAAACTCTGCTGCTGGGAGCTGCAGGCTTCCAGCCCTTCTCAGCATTCYTGTCACACTGTGTAACCACACACCACACGTGTACCTCCTCTGCTCTTCAATGAAAAGGCATGAGTTAAGGAATAACTCCTCTAACCTTCAAACATCTCCACCTCCTACACTCCTCTGGGACCTTTAATGATGTACTAGCACCAGGGAGGCACTGCAGTTTCACCTCTGGCATTCTCCTGACTAATGGGGCTCTGACTTCTTTTCCKGTAGCTCTTTAGCTGCAGAGACGTTTCTGAGCCAAGCAGCAGAACCAGCAACAATACACCTTTCAGGCAGGTTAGCTAGCTGATGTGCCGCAGATCTTCTGGCATTTCTGTTGGTGACGGGGGTAGGATTAGAGGATTGCTATATAATGATGATACCTTTTAAGGATGCTGCATTTAGGCCATAATTTCTCTTGTCATTTTACCTCCTCTTCTACCGACTCTTTCCCACTAACTAACCCACTATTAGACTGCAGTGGCAGGAAGAATATTTCTTCATCTGCTGCTCTAAGCAGAAGCTCCTCACTTCACAGAGGTACACTCATCAGTGCTTCCTTTTAATGGCAAGCTCTGGCAAACTACAGGTAAAAATAATTTAAAAAAAATTAAAGGCAGTAGTTTGCTTGAATCTTTCCAAGTTGGCTCAAATGTCAATCAAGCCCAAGAAATAACAGGCAGTGTCTTGATTTCTATTAGTACTGCAGGTGGTACAACTTATAAAGAAACCCTTCCCGGTTATTAAATTAAAGGCTGAAAGGCATGCATCCTCAYAGCAAAATTAAGCTTTTATAGGCATGTAGTTGGAGATTATTAAACCCAGCATGGTCCCAGATAAGAATGTATAAATGCAAGTTGTCAGAATTAATGCCAAATGGCACATTTTCCTTCCCAAACTTTTTTCTTCCTGTTAAGAGGGAATGCAACTGGAACCAAGAATCAGGGCATGGGTCTTTTTTCATTCAACACATTCAAATCTACTGCTCAAACCACAGGCATCCCTAAAAACATTTTCAGCTTCACTCTGAAACTAACTCAGTACTGCAAGGTAAGTGCTGCCTTARGTCTACCCCATATTAGCTGAAGTTTACACATATGGACCCAATGAACTCCAGAGAYTGCTTGTATTTGACCTTCTTCTGAAGGCTGATTTTTCCAGTGCTGACTCTTTAATTTGGCTGGAAACCTTCAGTGCTGGGGCATGTTTACATTTGAAAAAGTATCTGTTTAAAAACACTATGAAAAATTAAAAACCAAGGCTCTGGCTCTGCATGTCGGCAGCAGGAGACGGAAAACTAGGAACCACATGGCTTAGGGGCAAAATGTTCATCAAGGCCTCCTTTGTGCCTCTCATCTCTAATCACTTCCAGGGGGTTAAAGATCCATGCYCTCACTTCCTCCACATGAAAACCAATGAACAAAAGTTTAATAGTTTCCAACGCCATCGATCTCCAGATATCTGATTCAGAACCTCTAAAGCTCTGMAAGTCCCTCTACAGCTCAAGGTGGTTCAGATATCCAGCTGCAAAGAAGACAGAGCTTTGACGGAAATGTAMGTCTGCAGGCACAGCTGTGCTCAGCTATTATGCAAACCTAAGACAAGGTGAAAAGAGGCTCTGTGCCATTTCAGAGGGTGGTCTCTGCAGTCTCTAGCACACTGCTCTGCTCCCACTTCCTGAGAGCTTAGGGCTGGGACCAGGATTACTCAGCTGCACGAAGGACAGCATGCCAAATTGCAGGAGCTGGGTTTAGCTCTTCAAATCAYTGGCGGTTTTCCACTGAGCTAGATGGGTTTTGGATCAGCTTCTAAAGATATGGTAAACCTGGTAATACTTCAATCTTCATCTCCTCAAAATCAACTGCTCCCCGCTTCACCCTTACTCTGTGTGTTTTGGAGGAAAGAAATATGTAAACACTGAGCTGAGGCTTCCCTGTCTGAAGGACAGCATTTACTGCTTCATCTCACTTAAGYCCACTTGTCGCTCCCATCCCCAGCAGGCTACAACAGCTTTGTGTGTCCAGCACACATCACAAGAGCAGAGAGGTTAAATGGCCRTGCCTTGAAATTGCAAAGCCATTGTAGGTGCATAAAGTACGGCTACCCACAGTGCTATTCAAGAACAGCTCTTGCAAAATAATTCTCAGCAAGGATTTCCTATTTGAAGCAAAAGAAACTAAACTTAACAGGACCATGGATTCTTTGTGTAAAATGAGGGTATACCTACATGCACAGACTAACCATGCTCCTATCCTAGGACTGCACTGAAATAGTTCAAAGAGATCATAAGAAGACCTTATGGGATGAAAATTCAGAGGATCCCCATTCCAGAAAAGATAACCTGAATCCCATACCTTACATAAGGCTGCTGTAAAACAGGCTGATTCAACAGTTAAAGTTTGTGCAATGAAGTAGAGCATACACAGCATTTTAGACCTGTCAGACTCAATGGCAATAAAGATGTACCTGTTCTGCAGATACTCGGACCTACTTTTGTGCAGTGCTAACTTGAGCAAAAATTGACAGCTTTCCTTACTGCCTCAACATGGCCTCTTCTAAGTTCTCTTAGCTTACTAGTTCAGGACATGCTTAATTACTGTGCATGAGTACTGCAGCACTCCTGGCAAGGACCAGGTGACAGCCATGACTTCTGTGACTTGTACATTACCCTCCCTTTTTGTTTTGCTTCAGCCCYGGCACAGGGCAGATTAGGTGTAGTGATCAGCAGATACTCCAGTTTGCAAGTAGGCAAGCCCACAGTTTCCATTCTGTGTGGGTTCCTGACCAGACCCATTGGAGACAAGGCAAACAAGGCTGTAACCAAAGCTGAGAAGGCTAATGACTATCCAGCCATGCCATCACCTGTCTTCTCAAATGCTGCAAGTGTGGACATTTCCAAGAATGCATAGAAGTTATAACATTATCTTTATTGGACTGACAATGAATCATATTTTAGTATCAGCTTAATTTTAAATTTTAGCTCCTTGTTGTAGGTCACACCACAGGTTAGTTGCAATAGACTTTGGACATTAACTTTCCCTCCCACCCCATGCTGAGTTTTAAGAGTAGCCTCCATAACACAAACCACTCCACAATTTAGCAAATTTATCACGGGAGGAAGAAATCTTTTGCTGCATGGGCAGAGCTGAGCAAACAAATGTGTCAGCA